CAGCAGTAATTCGTCCGAAGCATCATAAGGAGTTTTTTTTTTACTAGGAACCAGAGGGGAATAAAAGATAAAGGCTTTTAGGTAGGTTCCAACTTCACAAAAAGCTGAAGTTCCCAGTCTAACACAGAACTATCTCTAGTTCTTAGGTAAACTGAAAAACTCATACTGTGACTATTATTCATATATTTATTTATTACTATTTTGTTTTATTATTTATTTTCTTTATTATTCTGTAGGCTTATGGAATTTTTTCTTAATTTCCAAGAGCTATTACACTTTCAAACTCAATCTTTTCTTTCATCTTTAATTTTCTTTCTTCTCTTTCAAAAAAAAAAAAAAAAAGTATTCCTTTCAGGAGTTTAAACATCAAAAGACTTACCAAATACTGAGAAGCATCTTTGGCATGTTTTGTGCTGGTATGTTTACATGCTTGCCTCTATGCCCAAACTATCCTGGCAGCTTCTGCCCCAGAGCAGCTGTGCCTTCTTCATCCCTGCATCCTCCATGTGCAGCACAGGGCCTGGTGCACACACTACTTAATTCACACTTGCTAAATGAAAGCACAGATAGCACAGGTCTAGGGCAGGGACCTACCCTTCCCACAGTGCCCACAAGCTAGAGACAATGAGTCCACTCTCTTCCTCTGGGTGAAGCGGAGAACCCCACAGATGCTGAGTCTGGTTCAATCCAGGAAAACCCAATACTTAGAACATTCCTTCAAACAGGATCACCCATAAGTTCTTTGGGGATAAAATATGAGCCTCAAGAATGAGAGGCACGTAAAAATTAGGCTGTTTTCTCAGGTCCCGCGTAACCACACCTGTGTGGACAGTAAAACCAGGAGCGGCGTGTCCTGCTAGGAAACCCAGGGCCACGGAAAGGCAGTGGTGACAGCCACCAAATGAGCCCCCTCCTGAGGGACAAACACACCACTCACAAGTGTCTGTGTCCTACACGCTGACAGGGGAGTAGTCATGCAGGAACGTGGGTGTGCGTGTGGGTCGCTTTCTGGCCACCCTTAACCTGATGAAAACGCTGCAGCCGGATGAACACCTGGCTCCTCAATCACTGTTTCCTCACAATACAGGTAATTTGGTGGACAAGGCTTTTCAAAATGGAGTTTTGTTTGTTTTATTCTTTTTTTTTTTCTGCTGAGATTGAAGGCAACTCCAAATCCAGCAGGAGTCTATGCTAGGATGTTTAAAAGCTAGACTTTTAAAAACAAGTCCCAGAGAGGGAACATAAAAGGAAGCTGGAAAGAAAACCACAGCATTCTCTGCTCCATTCATGGCCACAGCAACTACCCCAGTCCTGGTCGTCCTCGGCTTCTCTCGGCACCTCTACCAGAGGCCTCCTCAGTTCCATCAGTCTCTTCCACTCCACAATTATAGCCAGAGAAGCTTTTCCGAAGGACAGTTCTGACATCGCCCCTAGGATCCCAGAAACTCATTGGGTCTTCGTTATCAACAGACTAACCCACACGTCTTCAGCATGGCACTCAGGCCGTGATTTATCCCCTTACCTACCTGTCCAACTTGTTTCCCACCACTTTTTTCATGTATTTCATACTTACATTAACTCCAATAATCTTTCTCTTTTTAAAATTTTTTTTGAGTAGCTTTATTTATTTATTTTTGGCTGTGTTGGGTCTTCGTTGCTGCGCGGGCTTTCTCTAGCTGTGGTGAGCCGGGGCTACTCTTCATTGCGGTGCGCAGGCTTCTCACTGTGGTGGCTTCTCTTGTTGTGGAGCACAGGCTCTAGGCGCGCGGGCTTCAGTAGTTGTGACACACGAGCTCAGCAGTTGTGGCACGTGGCTCTAGAGCACAGGCTCAGTAGTTGTGGCGCACAGGCTTAGTTGCTCTGCGGCATGTGAGAACTCTCCAGACTAGGGCTTGAACCCGTGTCCCCTGCATTAGCAAGTGGATTCTTAACCACTGCGCCACCAGGGAAGTCTCCAATAATCTTTTGGTTTTTTTTGAAACGTTGCTAAAACTTTCTAAGTCTTAATTTTCTGCTCTGAATATAGGGATAGTAGCAGCAGCTAGCCCAAAGATGTGCTAAAGAATTAAAATTAGCTCATGCATGTAAAATCATTTAGCACAATCACTGACATGTAACAATAACTCAATATTAGTTATTAGTATTTTTCCTCAAAACATCTATCATAGGGCCTTGAAGTGAGTGTCAGAGAAATGCTTTTGAATTATTGAATGCACAATGGCTATAAGAGAGCTTTTGCTAAATAATTCATTCGAAGTCTGTTCCACTTCTAATCCAACTCTTCCTAGATTGAAAACTGTCAGTCGTGGGAATAAGAGATCCAAATTAAACTCATATCAGCCACGTTCTTAATGGAATAAAGATAAGAAGAATGTCATTTTGGGGAAAGTTTTAGATCTCAAAAGATAACTGGAAAGATCCCCTTTGATCACGGCTTGCCTTTAGGTTACAGGGATGGGGGAGGTGGAATGTCAATGTCCGGGAGCAGCAGTGGACAGTGGCTGGCTTGCCTGAATGTCTATATCTCACAGCCCAGAATGGGGTAGCCTCACGCCCTCAGGACACAGCTGGCTGGGTCCAGCCTGGGCACGGAAGGAACCATCTCCCTTCCCAACACTCAGAGCCGGAGGGAGTGTGGAGCATGCAGACCCCAAGCCCACTGCTGAGGTCCGAAGACCTGCCTTCCCCCAGGCCTGCTTGCTCAGCTCTCCTGGAAGCAGGTAACGTTCTTCTCACAGGTCTCTTTCTTGAGCTAATTTGAGTAAGTTAGTTCATCGCAAGCTGATATGTTCTGACTCAAGGGCTAAGAAGGAAGTCTTGAAGGAGCTAAAATGCAGGCATTTTTACCTCTTTGTACATTTTCACATGGATGCGTGACTCTCTGGAGTGTTTACTGAGCTCCTGTCAACCCCTGTAACTTTCTCAATGTTTCTTTTGATTAAACCCCCATTCCCACCTATCCTGATTCCCTGTACAGTCCAGCAATTACAAACCTGGTTTGTGTTGGGATTCAGAGGTGGCAAGGAGCCAGGAGAGGTGGTGGAAGCTGGTCCTCCAGCAACTGGGCTGAAGCCCGGCCTCGGAGGTTGCCTCATGGGCAGCGTGAGGGCACAGGCCCACGTGAGAGGTTACTTTCATGTGTACCTGACAAAAGTTTCACTAAATCACCAGTAAATGCAGCTTTCTTAGCAAGGAATGATGGCAAGAAGATTATTTTTCAAGACTCTCAAACAGAATGATTTTTTTTCAAAGTGCTAAACCTCAAGCATTTAGAAACTAGAGAGTTAACAGAAGTGACATAACTGATTACCTGCCCCGATATGTTCCTTTATTTGAAAATAAAGCTTTCATGAAGAAAATGATAACATAAAGAAATGAGGGAATCATCTTATTATAACACAGCTCAACAGACAGGACATGATTAGACCCACAGACAGTTTTCCTTTCCTCCCTCAGCAACAACCTGTGCTGGCTGCAAAGGATGCAAAGATGTAGGGCCAAGGTCATTACTGCCGGAAGCTTGCAGTCTCAGGAAGAGGCATGTGTGCACCCTTAAAACCCTTCCCAGAAACCTCACCTAACCATTTGAAGGTTCCTTCTGATGGTTACAAACGCCCGTGAGGATCCATGCGAGGGAACCACTTCGCTACAGCACAAATCTGCACTTGGCGTGCTGGAATCACACCGCTAGCAATTAAGCTCACGTGACCTCCTGGCAACGAAGCCTGGCGCTCTGAGAAGCCAAGAAAAGCTGGGTATTCACCAAGATCTCTGGACAGATCCCTGGCAAACGTGAAGTGTCTATTGTTATATATAAAGCAAAGCATTCCCGGTGCCCTGAGAGACATGCAGACAAAAGAGGAAGGAAAACACTAGGGCGAAAGCTATGACTACAACATTCCCACCATTTACCAGGCAGAATTTATGGATTTCCCTGTCCCAAGAGAACTA